TGTATGTATGTATGTATGTATGTATACTTCTCTGGTGACCAGTGATAGGACCCAGTATAATGGCACAAAGCTGTGTCAGGTGAGGCTTGGATATCAGGACAAGGTTTTTCACCCAGAGGGTGAACAGTCCCCAGAGAAGTGGTCACAGCATGAAACCTGCCACAGTTCAAGAAATCTTTGGACAGCACTCTCGGGCACATGATGTGATTCTTGGGGATACCCTGTGCAGCACCAGGAGTTGGACTTGATGATTCTTGTGGGTCCTGTCCAGCTCAGGGTATCCTGTAATTCTGTGATATGTATGCGTGTTCATTTTCAATTCATCAGGCTTGTATTTGTGCTGTCATCTGTGTAAAATGTTGTTTTGCATTAGAACCAGCAATCTCCAGTAAAACATGTAAGCTTTGTGTTTTATGAAATACAAATTCTGGAGTCACTTAAACTGTGAGAACCGCTTTTCAGATGCAGAAGACAGTTTCTGATCTCCATTGTTCTGAATGCATATGAAGAAGTATCTATGCATGTTTACTGGTCTTTTGGGATGACATCTGTATTGAAGTAATTTTCCCTCAGATGCCTTTTTTATTAACCAGTTTATTCTCAAAAAATTCTTCTAGGTTGCAGCTTGTAGAGATACAGGGTATGACTGGTTTGAACAGCTTCTTCAAAATGTAAGTAATGAGTTTTGAATATATATTGCAATCATTGTTAACATTTTAACATTGCTTTTGGTACTAAAACACTTGTAAGGAGGCTTGAAGAGCAATCCTTTACAGTAGGCAAATTCAATTCATGCCCTTTAAACATCTGACCTTTTTTCTATCTTCATTGATGCAGTTTTCTTCATCTCTGATATTGGTTTCTGTCTTGGCGTATGATCTCTTTTGAAAATATTTCACTTCTTGATTTTGGGAGGGGTTTTGTTTGGTTGGTTTTGATTTCGTTGTCTCTTCAATGATGAGTTACTTAACACGGAGTCCACAGCTAAGATACGTAGTGTAGTTCTTTTTCTTTTTTTAATGGTAGATAAGTGTAATGGTAGAGCAGTGAATCCTCAGAGCATAAGTTACTTCTGCATTATATTTCACTTATATCTAATACAGGTATTTCCAAGAATTGAGCTTGCTTTGTTTATGGCTTTTAACCTGTGTTGTCATTCTCTACATCCTGTATGCTGGTTAATCTGCAAGCAAAAAAAATCCTGTTGGTTTTATCCTAGCCTGGAGTGTTATGAAAACAGATAATCAAGTCAATCAGAGCATCTTCATTAAGAGTCTCTTCACTGAAGAAAAGGCTGTAGGACAGTCTAATCCTACTTAGATAATAAAGGATCTTCATGGACAGAATTTTAGTACCCAAAGTCACGTTGATAAAACTATATAATTTGTTATTTTGGCTTACTGTCAAAAATAACATTCCTTTCAAATTTGCTCTTTATTTCTCTAAGCATTTTCAAAGTCTTCTAAATCCTATTAGCTTCTGCATTATTTCATTAAGCACAAAGTCAACTTTCATCCCAATGCAAAAATCAGTAGAACTTCTATGGATTCTTACTCTGGTTAATTTTTCTTTGCTTATCTTGTGTTTTGGGTTGATTTTTTTTACTTCCCATAATTTTGCCTTCACCATGTAAGTTTTATGGAGAATTTAAGTATTTTCATAGTCTAAAATCCTTGTGTATCTGTAGTATTTGTTATAAAATCAGCATGTATCCCATGCAAATGAATGCACCCTCAATAATGAACTATTCTCTGTTTCATCTGCTACAGCTGTTGAAGTCAGAAGAAGATGCTTCATATAAACCTGTGAAGAAAGCTTGTACTCAACTCGTTGACAATTTGGTTGAGCACATTCTTAAGTATGAGGAATCTTTATCAGGTAATATTATTTAAAACTCAGCTAAAATCCTTTGAATTTTATGTGTTACTGTAACAGCTGTGGAAATTACTGTTGCAAAAAGTTACTGTTGCCGAATTCATGTTACAATGCTTACTGTAATGAATTTTAGGTTCATTAATGAATTTTTAAAGTTCATTATGAACTCTTGAGCCCTGTATAATAATAAAGCTTCCCTAATTTTCACTAGCTAGCCACAATAACAGAACTACTTTTAAAATAATTTTTTGCACTTTCAGATCACTAAAACCAAAACAAACATGTCAAGTTTTATTTGCATTAGTATGTTTTACAGTTGCAATAGCAATCATTGGCTGGGCCAGTGTTCTGTGTACACTAAGGAGTTTAAAAACTAGTGATGCCTTTGAATCATCTTTGCTTCTTTTTTTAGGTATTTTGTGGTCACATACAAATGTTAACATGTTATGTTTGCATCTCTGGTAAGAATATTTTGTTTTGGTTTTGAAAGAGATGCCATGAAAGAGATATTCAAATGATGTTTAGGCCATATGTTTTTCATTGCTTAAACAGTACTTGGACTTAATATCCTTTTTTGTGTTTTCTAATCTTTTGCAGATTCTGACAACAAAGGTGTGAATTCTGGTCGCTTGGTTGCTTGCATAACCACTTTGTTCTTATTCAGCAAAATAAGACCCCAGCTAATGGTCAAACATGCCATGACCATGCAGCCATACCTGACCACTAAATGTAGTGTAAGTAGAGAAAATCAGTATATTTTTTTCCCTAGATAATTGAGCGTGAAAATGAATGGCTGTATTATATACTTGATGGAACTGAAGGTAGGAAAAGAAAATTTAAACCAGTGGGTTTATTTTGTGGGCATCATAGCATTGAAAGCTCCTACATCTACGGAGATCTTCCTGTGAAGATACTGTTTTTCACCTGTTAGCAAATCATTTCATAAAATTGTTTTGATTTATAATCACAGTCTTAAAAGCAATTAATATTTAATGTAAGTATCTTAAGACTAAGGATAAGGTTCCATAAGATAGGGAGTTCTAATATATAGCAAATCCATGAGAAGGAAAATGTCTTCCTCCAACCTCTTCCAGACTTCATCTTTGCCTTCTCTAGTTCTGGTGTTCCTATATTTCCCTGTAAGACACTGTAGACAGCTCCAATACTGAAACCCTCCCCAGCCCTGATAAAATGGTCCTGTCCTGTGAAAAACTGTAGGAGTTTCTACCATTTTGATCTGATACCCCTAATCTGGAGCCAGGGCAGAATCATGCAGCTATGGCTCAAGGAGGAGCATGGGTGGGTGACAGCAAGCCTGTGCATTAGTCAGCTGCTCAGGGCAGGCTTGAGAGTAATTGTTACTAGCTTAGATTGTGGGTACAGCCTAGCATTTTCCAGGTGCAGCCCTGGTGCGTTCTCTGTGCATGTTTACAACAGGCCGTTGAAGCTGCTTCTGAACAAACAGTATTGGAAATAGTTAGCTGGTTACTTGCTGCAACTCATTTAGTGGGTTGCATCAATTTTGTACTTACATGAGTTGAGATGAATCACAGAATTACCACTGACAGCTTGAATATGTCAAATACTAGCATTTGAGATTTATCCTCTCCTGATTAGTGAGCTTGGTTTGTCAAAAAAAGCAAACTTCTAGCAGGATGTCTTATTAATGGATAAATGTTTTCCATAGGTTCAATGCTTGCAAGGCATATACAGTCGTGATAATGCAAACTAGTGATAATTTTATTTGCAGTTTCTATGTTTGTGCACAGTGTTACCTGTTGTTTAAGGTGCATTAAGTCATAGCACAACTTCATTTTGTTGCTGATACCTGTTTCCAGGTGTTGTGTGTTCTGTTGTGTGCATGAGTTGGGAAGAGTTCCTAGATTTCTTGTAGGACTCCAGTAAATTATCAGGCACAAACGTTTTCAGGACTGGCATAGCCTTGATGATGGGTGTATTGCTGCTCATACAGACTTTTTTCCCAGAACATCTGTAGTAAACAGAACTAGGTTTCATAATAATATGTAATTTAATAGCAGATGTAAACTGTATAAATACTCTTTTAGTCATTTACCAAATATGAGTTGAGATTTTTAGCTATCAGTGCATCTTAATAATGCTTATATGTAACATGGCCAGAAATGTTAAACACTGTAAATTATGTTGTTTCAGAACCAGAATGATTTCATGGTGATCTGCAATGTTGCAAAGATCTTAGAGCTTGTAGTGCCGCTAATGGAGCACCCAAGTGAGACCTTTCTTGCCACTATTGAGGAAGACCTCATGAAACTCATCATCAAATATGGCATGACAGTAAGCTTTTAATTGCTACTATTTGGTTGATTCCATTTCACATAGGTTTGCTTTAAAGACCATGAAGGGTTTATTTATGAAGATAAATTTTGAGCCATGAAAATTCGGTGTACATGGTTTACTGGATTTTGTATGTAGTGTTGCTGTATTTTTCTGAGTTTGAGCAGGTTTTCAGAGCAGTGTAGGACATGGATATAACATTGCTTTCATTAGATGGTTAGTTTTAGTTCATCATAGCTTTTTCTTACAAAGATAATAATCTCAATTCCAACTTCTAAATATATAACTCATTTGTTCTTTCTTGCCCCTAGGTTGTTCAGCATTGTGTGAGCTGTCTTGGGGCTGTTGTCAACAAGGTCACTCAGAACTATAAATTTGTGTGGGCCTGTTTTAATAGATACTATGGTAAGTAAAATCACAACACGTAATTGTCACTCTTCAGCCTTGGCTACAAGTCTGATCATAGGGATTCATCACAATTAAACACTGCGATAAAATCTTTCCTCTTACTGCAGCTGCACTTGCTAAATTAAAAACTCAACACCAAGAAGACCCCAACAGTACAATGCTAACTGGCAATAAACCAGCACTCCTTAGGTCACTTTTCACTGTTGGAGCACTGTGTCGACATTTCGATTTTGATCAGGAGGATTTTAAGGGCAACAGTAAGGTAAAGTAATTTTTATTTACTCTTCATGTCTTAGTTGTATGGACTGTTCTGCTTTAATTTGAAAGCACATTATTCCTATCCCCTCAAAGCTATATATTTTTCCATAATGCTTTTGATTTTTAAATACCTGGTTTTGCAAAGGCTGAGCCATAAGATTGTGTTTCTCCTCTTGTTTTTGATATTTATGCTTTTTATAAGAGTTTTAAAACATCTGTTTCATCTTCAAATAGCCACTATTTTTGTTTTATTTTGCTCAGGTTAACATTAAGGATAAAGTACTTGAACTGCTGATGTATTTTACAAAGCATTCAGATGAAGAAGTACAGACAAAAGCCATTATTGGCCTTGGTAAGAACTATTATTAGATTTTATTTTCTGCTCCAGTAAAAAATCCATATGTATCAGTAGGAATTCCTGTATTTGTGTAGTCACAAGGGAGTTTGTTTAAAATCAGAACTCACTGCATGTTTTGTTTGAGAACTGGCTATAGAAAAGCTGTCGAAGTGTTGCTAGTTGCATAATTCCACAGCAGATTAGATGCTTTTGACAGTGAATGCCTTTCGGTCTGTGACCAAGTCGTAAAGTACAGCAGATTTCCAAGGTAATGATGATGTAATGTTTTTCTCCAGTGCAAGTATGTTGTAAGTCCAAATCCTGTTTTTCAGTCCACAAGGTAAAAACGTGCTGGAAAAACTTTGAACGTTTTAAGAGTAGGAGCAGACATTCTGCAGGAGACAGGGGAGCTCTGGCAGTTTATACTAGCTGCGAGGCCTCTCTGAGATTAATGTGGCATTTCAAGTGACTTACAGTAGTTGAACTGCCACTGACTGGTTTGTCATGTTCATCTTCTGCTTAAAGGCTAAAATTGTACAACTGAAAGAATCTTGTCTGAGCAGATAGGTCTTGGTTTCTGGAAGAGTTCAATTCATGGTTATGGCTTGGTGTAAAGTAAGTTGCCTCCCAGGCACATGAGCTTCCATAGTGTGATTTAACTGTGGACAAGAATTTGACTCTGTGTTGCTATTTAAGTGACTTTTTTAGATATCCTGCTTCAGTTCAGGCTAGGGAGGGCTCTGTAAGCATATCAGAGTTTAATTAAACCTCACTGTTTTCAGTGATATATTAATCATATATATATTAATTTCATCCAAGTGCTATAACAGAGCAAGGTTGTCAAAGTCATTCAGTGTTTGTGAGCAGCAATCAGGTGAAAAGGCTTAGCAAGCTGATTCAGCATTCATACACTGTGACAGCTGTCATGTGAAGGGTGTGTACTTTCCTTTCAGCCTGTCATTATAGTAAGGACAAAAGTTTTAGCCTTTGCTTTGGTATGTGTCACTGCTGTTGAGAGATTAAGCTTAATCATCAGCTTAATAGTTATGGTTATGCTTTTCCCTTTGAGATGTGTACTTGCAAAACAGGTTGAGGATATAAAATGTTGGTAGTAACTTTAGCTAAACTTCAAAGTACCTGTCAGGTAATGCCTTACTCAGCCAAGTTCAGTGCTTGCTCTTAAGATCCTTAACAGAGTGACAACAAAGGTATGAAGGAAAGTGGTATGATGGCATCCCTGAGATGTGAAGTCAGTCCTTAGAAAAACACAGCAGGTGCCTTTCTTCATCTCCTGTGGCAGCTTCTTAGGCCAAGGAAGATTTCTTCCCCAGTTAACCAGGGATGGTAAAACAAGGATTTCCCTGAGAATACTACTGTTTTCAGCTCCTTAAGGTGAATGAAGGAAGTAGTCTTCTGGATTGTTACACTTATATGCACATGCTTTTCACTTTTAAAATTAACCTTGACTTGCACAGAAGTGTACAAGTTACAAAGGTCAGTACACACCTGTATGTAGTGCACAATTATTCCACATACTCCAAAGACCATCGTAACTCCTCTTTCTCCTCTTTTCCCTCCACCTCACCTGCTTCTCTGCTTCTTGTTTTGAAACTGAAATGACATGTTAAACACGCTGAGGTGTTGCCTTGGGCTAAGCCTTTACTTACGCTGTCTTTTCCTATGTATGGAGCCAGTTTTAAACACTTGACTCAGTCTTCCCTTTGTTATAGCTATTTTTGTACATTATTCTTGCATAATTTTATTTGCTTTCTTTTTACCCATTCTTTTATGTTCATATGTTTTCTATGTGTTCATTCAAAATCCTAGTTTCCTGTGGTCATATAAAATAGATTTACGGTCTACTTTTCTGAACAGTCTAAAAAAAAAAAAAGAAGTAGTTAAATGTAAATTAAATCAGGATTTTATGTTCCCATTACTGTTTTTTTATGATACTCTGTAAGAGTTTGTCAGCAGCACTTCTAAATCTACATACATATATGTGCTACCAATAATTTAGAAAAGTGTTTATGAAGTGCAGAATTAAGAACAGCCAGTTCCTTGTCAAGGGTAAGGCTGCCCCTAAAAACAGTCTGGTATCTTCAGTATCTTCCACACATGTAGTCCCAGGAACACTTCAGAGAATTTTCAAGAAAAGAGTTTAATAGGTATATGAATAATGACAGCAAGAGGCATAAATTTTCTTGTGTTCACGGGTGATTTTTTTTCTATTAAGATGTTATTTTTAAGTACTCATGATATTTATCAATTTTTCCACTTTTTTTTCTGTCTCCATATGAATTTTATGAACTTTACTGTTTCAGCAGATTTTTTTGTCTCCAAATGCATTAGAAAAATAACAGGTAATTTTATTAATGTTCCTTTCTTGTTCTTATGAGGACTAGTCACTGAATTGCAGGCCACTACACTGCAATGGTTCCAGACCTGAACAGCCTGTTAGTGCAGCCACCCTAGGTCAACACCCCATCATGTACATCAGAGATAGAACTCCTGTGGCTAACAGAATTCTTGATTAGCTATGAGAGGTGTCCATATGACAGAGCAATACTGTCTGGAGTTGAAAATACTGTGCTGTTGGAAGGAGATAAATTTCACCTCTCTTGAAGGACTTAAAAAGCAGAGTTACAGTCTCTAGATTATAATAATGAGAAAGGTTTCCTCTCTTTTCCACCCTTAGGATTTGCATTTATACAGCACCCAAGTTTAATGTTCGAACAGGAGGTGAAGACTCTGTACAACAGCATTCTTTCTGATAAGACCTGTTCAGTAAACTTAAAGATCCAGGTGTTAAAAAACCTCCAGACCTACTTGCAGGAGGAGGATACACGCATGCAACAGGCAGACAGAGATTGTAAGTGCTGAGTTCTTTGTTCTGATGAGGCATTCAAAACTTGACTTTCTTGCACACAACTACTATGTACATGTATAAGAGGTGTATTATTTACTTTCAAGATGTATAAAGCCTGGAAGCAATCCAGAATGCATAGCTTTTGTAATGATGGTAGCAATACTTTTTAATCAAAATGCTTCTAAGTTTAATTTGCAGATAAGAAATAATAAATAGACTCTTTTTATTTAATGAAAAGCCTTTATTTAGGTGTAAGACTTGAATTAAAATTGTGTCTCTAGTTTTTTGATATATATCTATACATTAGTGTGTTCTGTGTTTTATGAGATCATAAACCCACTTTAAGCAAGCTGAAATATGTGTTTATTGTGAAGCTGAAAGATCAATATACATCAAGTACTGGCAAATTAAATGATTACATTGTGGTGAGTGTGCTATTGCTTTTGTCGTTTTTACAGGGAAAAAAGTAGCAAAACAGGAAGACCTGAAAGAAATGGGTGATATTTCCTCAGGGATGAGTAGTTCCATCATGCAGCTATATCTCAAACAGGTCCTTGAGGCTTTCTTTCATACCCAGTCCAGTGTGCGCCACTTTGCTCTCAATGTCATTGCACTGACACTAAACCAGGGTCTCATCCATCCTGTGCAGGTATGATAGGCTTCTGTGGGGGGACTTCTTGTTACTCGTGTTCTTACAGGCTTTCACACTTGCCACATAAATTTCTGGATTTTCTCTTCCGGTTACATTACTGTAATTTCTAACTGTAGCAAGAGGCCTTTGCAGGAAGCTTATTTTGAAATCTGGTTTATGTTGTTTAGCCAGTGAGATTCCAAATGTTGTATTTTCTGTGTTTGGATTAAGATGTAAAAGCTGAGCTACTGCCTAAAGAGCATGTGCAAATGTACATTGGAGCATATTTCTGCTATGAATTTGAGGTATATGCCAAGTTGATTTCTTCGTTTAATTCTTCAGCTTACTTCCACCTCCGTCCCTGTATCCATCAAACACTGTGGAATTCCACAGTCAGTGTCAGAACTTAAGCCATCATCTCCATTATTCCTTGCTTAGATAATGCTTTTGTAATTAACTTTTTTATACTGCAGCCTTTGCACAGGTTCAGTCATAAATGGTGGTTTGTGGGGGTTTTAATGGAATTTTATGTACTCTGGATTAACTGTAGAATTTGAGAAAAAGGGAAAAGCCACCTGAAACCTCACACAACTTCTACATTTGTAATGCTGATGTCTTTCACTATTTGTACTATTTACTTACAAAAAGTGGTTAGGTAGTAAGCTGCATAGAACTTCCTACTCTAGTTTTTACAGTAGAAACAAAGAACAAAGATTGAGGAGGTACAATGCCTCTCAATAATAATTTTGTTTATTTTTCAAGTGTGTGCCGTACTTAATTGCTATGGGCACAGATCCAGAGCCCTCTATGCGGAACAAAGCTGACCAGCAGTTGGTGGAAATAGACAAAAAATACGCTGGGTTCATTCACGTAAGTAATTCTAATTCAACATTTTACAAAATGCTGTTATGTTCTGTAATCATTTAACACCTGAATGTGCCTCAGCAGCAGAAAAAGAGTGTAGAGTAACAAACAATAACTGTAAACAGTTCTGAAGATGATCTTGGCTGTCTCCCCCTTTGGAGGTTTCTGTTCTGAGAAATAGAAAGGGTGATATAATTTGAAGTGTCTCTTCTAGTCCAAAATTTCCTTTAATTTATAATTCACAGTAATATTTTCCACGCTGAACAGTACTTGGTAACAGCTAAAGACAAGTGTTTCATAATGTTTAGCAATTTAGCAGTGATTTCCTCTCTCGGTGGACTAGGGAAGAGAACACTGTGTAAAGGTCAATAAAGTCCTTAGTGTATATGTATTAGAAATGGTAATCTAAGCAGAATCCTTCTGCTTAGAAGGATTTTCTGCATAGGAAACTGTTTAGATCTGTTGAAGGGAAAACCTGAGGGCTCTGTGAGGACATGTGGAGTTGTGGCATAGTGCCAATATCTCTGCTTAAGATCTGAAATTAAGCTGCAGCACTTTCCTTATTTCAGAAGGTCCCAGTCTGAGTTCAGTGTGTATACTCTGTTGTAGAACTTCTTACATGTGCTTGTATGCCACTGCAGTGGGAGCACTGACTGTGCTGTTGATGGCATCCCAAACAAATACCTAACTCACGAGGTGGAGGCTAGCAGATGGAATTTGCTGTGTTACGCAGCTGGAATGTAAGGCAGTGAGTGTATAGATGCAGAGACTTTGCTGAACAGCAGCTGGGGTAGTATGAGGAGAGTTGGATGTGCAGCCTAACTAGATTCAGTTTGACCTGAAACTAGAGCAGGACCCCTGAAGTAAGTAAAAGGAAATGGAAATTACAGCATATATGGAAAAAAAACCCAAAACACTCATTTTCTGTTTCTTAGTCCTATTGCAATCATATGGATTCAGTTGTTGGTTTCACTATAAGTGATACCAAGAATATACATTTGGTAAAATACTCTGTTCATACATGGAAACATTCCAGTGTTCCTGAAGATCATTTAAATTGGAATACCTGGCTGTAGTGGGTAAACAGATTAGCTGCAGGTTTCTAGCAGAATTTATAGTCAAAGCAGTTCACAAGGTACTCTGGTCTCTGCCGTGAGTTCTGTTTGCAGGTTAAAAAGTGGTATTGCCTTGGTGCGTAGTTTAAATTCGAAACTTCAGAAGAGCATGCGTGTGAAAGGACGGAGTTCTACCACTTTGGAAGCAATAGTTTGAATAAAAATACCTTTAATTTCAGATGAAAGCAGTGGCTGGTATGAAGATGTCTTACCAGGTACAACAGGCAATTAATACCTGCCCGAAAGATCCTGTAAGAGGATTTAGACACGATGAATCATCCAGTGCATTGTGCTCACACCTCTACTCCATGATTCGAGGGAACCGTCAGCACAGACGAGCCTTTCTCATTTCTTTACTCAACCTCTTTGATGATACTGCAGTAAGCACCGTATTTCCTTCACTTAAAAAGAAATTAAAATGTAGCGTTACCAGCTTAAAGTCTCCTTTCACAAAGTATTTTTGTGTCGCAATTATAGATAACTATCTGCCTAATGTACATTTTTTGCTTTGTAATATAGAGTATCTGTATAATAGAACGCATTTACATCACTCAGTGCTTTTTTATACTCAGTTTGGACTGATCAGAAATAATGTGTCTTCAGGTATGACTAAATGTTGCATGTATGTATGTTGTTTAGAGTGGCCTGGCAGAAGGTATATAAAATAAAAATTGTGATCATGTTTTTGCTCAAGACTGTCAGCAACACAGGGTAAGTGTATGAATCCAAGATGCTTGTATGTATATTTATGTGTAATTTTTTTTTTTAACTTCCAGAAAACAGAGGTGAATATGCTTTTGTACATAGCAGACAATCTAGCCTGTTTTCCTTACCAAACACAAGAAGAGCCACTGTTTATAATGCACCATATAGACATTACACTGTCAGTTTCTGGTAGCAACCTACTACAGTCATTTAAAGAGGTATGTGCCTTTATGTTGTAGTGTATTTGTTGTGGTGGCAGCATTGGCTTCTCTATGGCTTGGTTGATTTTTCAGTGGATACAGTGCCATTGTTATGGTGTGGACCAGCAGCATTACTTTGTATGTAATCAGTAGTAAAAAAACAAGCAGCCTCTTCTGCTCTCACTTGCATCTGGTAGACACTAGCTAAACTTTCCTTATATTATTGCTGCTTATATTATTAAAAAGTAATGGTGGATTTTGAGATCAAACCTATGTAATTTCCTAGTGTGGCTGAATAATAATTAGTTGCTTGTATCTGGATGCAGATGAATTCAGACTCATCATGTAATACTAGTTTATTGTGGTTGTTTGCAGAATTTTAATAATACCATCCAGTTGGGAGTTTATTTTGTTGCCGGGTAGCTGATGGCAGTTGTGTTCGTGTTGCCTGAGAGACTTGAAATACATTGTTTATTGCAAGAGAAGAGTACACAGTATCTCTTTCTTGAGGCAGCACGTAAGAACCTGAGTCATGACACAGTATCTGTTGTTATGGCAAAATACACAAGCCTGTGATTAAAAGGCCTCTGCTTCTGAAAGACTTCAGTGTCTTGATTTCCTGAACAGCTTTAACAGTAGAAGGTACAAACTGTCAGGAAGCAAACCTGTTCATAGAATTTCCATTCTGACTAGTAAGTACAAGTCAGAGTTGATGCCTGGGAAGTACAGTGCTGTGAACTGTCAGCCTACCAAAGCTGATTTTTGATCTGCTAGGAAGAGACAGTACACTCTTCAGATTGGGGGTCAGTGCGTAGCACCCAGAAGGGCTGAGATCCAGCTCAGGACATCCTGTGCTCTGTCATGAAAAAATCATACTGTGTGCAGCATTAATGCACATGTGATATTCTGCAGCTCTACAAGTATTAGAATTGATTGCTGTTCATACCATGTGTGATCACTTTGGGCAGCAGTTTAGTTAGTGTCACAGAATTTTAAGAGGCAAGGATTTAAACAAGCTTGGACTGGTCTGTATCAAAGGTGCATGTGGAAGTCTCCATGGCACACAGAACTTACATCCAGGTGAAAGACAAATGGAATTTTCTTCCTGTTTTATTGTATTTGACCTTTACTGCATTTTACTGTCACTGCTAATGAACTTGAGTAGTCTTTTAATGGTACCATGCCAGTGGAGTGCTTTTTGCTTCAGTTCCTTCCGTGTCCACCTTGCAGAAAAGTCTGGGCTTTGCATAAAATTTTCAGTATCTTCTTCCCTTAAATAATTTTAAGAATGTGAAGTTTTGAATTAATAACATTGTTCAAGGAATTCTTGCTACTTTAAGCCAGCAATGACTTTGGAAATATTTTTTTAGAAGCATGCATGACACTACTTACTCTAATTTTGGAATGTGTGTTAACTCCTTTGTCTTGCAGTCAATGGTGAGAGACAAAAAAAAGGAAAGAAAGCCTTCGTCAGATGAGGAGAGTGAGAGCAACAGTGGCAGTGAGAGCGAAAGTGAGGAGGAAGCTTCCAAACCTCGCAGGTTACGGAAACGAGTAGACTCTGATTCGGATTCTGATGAAGAAAATGATATAAATGCTGTGATGAAATGTTTACCTGAAAATTCAGCTCCATTAATTGAATTTGCAAATGTGTCCCAAGGGATATTATTACTTTTGATGCTGAAACAGCATTTAAAGAACCTTTGTGGATTCTCTGATAGGTAAGGCTGTTCAGACAACAGGCCACTTGTTATGCAGTGAGTTCTTTGCAAGGAATAAGGTTGGGAGGGATTTTTTCTTTAGTAAGAGCTGACTGTAGCTACTGATTTTAGCAATAGATTTGTCTATGATAAAACCCAAATGTATTAAGTTGAATTTAATGAAACATGGCTTAGAAAAAGCCATGATTTCATTTCTTAACAGGTTGTCAATTGTATATGGAATGATTAAAATACAACTACTTATACTGAAGATTTTAAAAGCTTTTACTTGAAATTATTCTGGATTTTGCTTAAAAGCTTTTCCCTTTTGTTTCCTTTAAACAGTAAAATTCAGAAATATTCTCCATCTGAGTCTGCAAAAGTTTATGATAAAGCTATAAACAGGAAGACAGGAGTGCATTTCCATCCAAAACAAACATTGGATTTTCTGAGGAGTGATATGGCTAATTCCAAGATCACTGAAGAAGTGAAGAGGAGTATAGTAAAACAGTACTTAGATGTAAGTAAAGTGCTTCGCAGAAAACCTGAAACCTTTCAAACTGGTGAACAGTATAAACTTGAAAGTAGATGCTGATGTATTGGATGAACATTTCAAAGTGTTAAGTTCCTGGTCAACCTAAGTGATGTGCTGATCTTCTTTTCAGGGTGTTTAGCAGGACTGTATTTCAAAGACTTCAGTCTTTTGAAGACTGTAGTATCTCCAAAAAAAAAAGAGAGGAAAGTAAAGTTTGTAGAACAAACACAAGCTGTCAAAGTTTGAAGTTGTCTGCTGTTTGTTTTACCCTGTTTCTTTCTGTTGTTGTTTGTTTCTGACATAATGTACTGTGTTATAAATGTCTGGTTTTAAAGTTACAATGTGGACTAATTATTTTTTTTTAATAGTTCAAGCTCCTTATGGAACATTTGGATCCTGATGAAGAAGAAGAAGATGGAGAGGTGTCAGCTAGCACAAATGCTCGGAACAAAGCAATTACCTCGCTGCTTGGAGGAGGCAGCCCTAAAAACAATGCAGCTGAGACAGAGGACGATGAGAGTGATGGGGAGGATAGAGGAGGAGGCACTTCAGGGGTGAGGCGGAGGAGGAGTCAACGTATTTCACAGCGTATTACGTAAAATGATTTTTATGTGCTTATAAATGTCAGTTTATTATATTAAATGTACACCAAGTAATGTAATCCACATGAAAAAAAAAGCATTTTGTAGATAGAGATTCTCTACTTAACCGTTTATACAACTTTTGTAGAAAGTTTAACAGAAAAGAC